ATCTAAGATCTGAAGTGTCTGAAACAAAAACAACATTCTAGGCAGTACATTCATCTTGATGACAGCAATTCGGCCTAACAAGGAAAGTCTCAGCCGTGACCATATTTCTAGATCTTTCTTCACCTCTATCCAGCATTTGTCATAATTGTCTTTAAATAAATTCACATTTTTAGAAGTCAAGTTCACACCCAGGTACTTCACTTTTTTTGTTATTTCTAAACCTGTTTCCCTCTGAAATTTCTCTTTTTCTGCCATTGTTAAATTTTTCTCCAACACTTTAGTTTTCTGCTTGTTCAATTTAAATCCTGCTACTTGACCAAATATCTCAATTAGTTCTAGTACTCTTTTAGTACTAGTATCTGGCTGTTGCAAAGTCAGTACAAGATCATCTGCAAATGCCCTTAGTTTGTAGTTCCTCGCTCCGACATGAACTCCTTTAACCAATTGGTCCCCTCTAATCATGTTTAGCAAAACCTCCAGGACTGTTATAAAAAGTAAGGGGGATATTGGGCACCCCTGTCGTGTGCCCTTTTCTATAGGTATTTCTTCCGTAACCACATTGTTCACAATCAGCTTTGCTTTTTGCTTAGAATATATAGCACCTATACCGTTTTCAAAGCTTTGGCCTACCCCCATCCCTTGGAGATTCTTCTTCATAAAGGTCCAACAAATATTATCAAAGGCTTTCTCCGCATCCACAAAAATCAAAACCGCCTTTCTATTAATGTTCACTTCCAGTAATTCCAAAATGTCTATAATGTTCCTCACATTGTCCGACATATGTCTCCCTGGGAGAAAGCCTGTTTGGTCCTTATGAATCTCCCCTATCAGCACTCTTTTCAATCTTTTTGCTAAAATGTCTGCAAAAATTTTGTAATCCACATTTAGTAATGATATAGGGCGGTAGTTTTTGACCTGGTTCTTTTCAGTCTCTGTTTTCGGTATGAGTGAGATAAAAGCTTCTTTCCACGATTCAGGTGCCTTTTTCCCTTCTAAAATTTCATTACAAACCTCCTTCAGTGGTTGTATTATCCATTCCTTCAATGCCTTGTAATATCTAGCCGTTAAGCCATCTGGTCCTGGAGATTTTCCCAACTGCATATTCTGAATGGCACCCTCTATTTCTTGTCCTGTTATTTTCTCATTCAAAATCATTCTACTTTGATCTGAGATCTTTGGTAATCCATACTTCTTAATAAATTCTTCTATTTCCTGCACATCAACAGGCCCTTGTGCATATAATTTCCTGAAGAAACTTTGAAAGCAGTTACTTATCTCATTTGGTTTGTGGATAATTTTCCCATCCATTTCCAAACTTGTCACAGTGTTCAGTTTTTGTCTCTTTTTCAATTGCCATGACAGAAGTTTCCCACATTTGTCTGCCGATTCAAATGTTCTTTGTCTCATTTGCTTTATTTTCCATTCTATCTCTTGATTCATCAATTCCATATATTGCGTCTGATGGTACTTTATTTCTCTCAAAATCTCATGAGACTTTGGTTTGGACCTCAATTTCTTTTCACCTTCTTTTATTTTTTCCAAAAAATTTCTTTCCTCTCATTTTGCTTTTTCCTCTTTATGGAATTTTGTTGTATTAGGAAACCTCGCATCACGGCCTTGCTTGCGTCCCATATTATTCTTTTCTCCACATCTGTTCTCAAATTTATCTCAAAGTAATCTTTCAAAGCTTTTTGGGCCTTCTTATAAATCTCCTCATCTCTGAATAGGGCATCATTCATCCTCCATCTGAAAGTTCCAATTGTTGTTAATTTCATCTCCATCTTCACAGCATTATGGTCGGAGCAAGTCTTTGGGCAGATTTCTACTTTTTTAACATTTGGCGCCATGCTACTAGTTACCCAAATTTGGTCAATCCTTGTCCATGTCATTTTTGCTTCGGAGAAAAAAGTTCCCTCTCTCTCCAGAGGATTCCTTACTCTCCAGATGTCAATCAAGTCCAGTGTTTCCGTCATTTCAAAAAAGGTCTTTGGTAGTCTTCCATCTTTAGAAATTGTTTGTTTCTGTGCCTTGTCCATATTAGTGGAGACAACACCATTCATGTCCCCCATCATTATAATTTTAAAATCCATATAATCCATTAAGGTCTCATGAAACTTCTTAAAAAATTCCGCCTTCCCTTCATTTGGTGCATATATTCCCAATATCATAATTTTTTCTCCTTGGATTTGTATTTCTATTGCCAAATATCTTCCTTGTTCGTCTTTAAATATCATTTTAGGGGCCAATTTTTCTTTTGCATAGATCACGACGCCTCTTTTTTTGACCTTGTCTGATGAGATAAATTCTTGTCCTAGTCTCTTGTTTACAAGTAATTTCCTGTGTATCCTGGTCACATGCGTTTCCTGTAGACATATCAAATCCAATTGCTCTCTCTTCAATATGTGAAAAACTTGACGTCTTTTTCTGGGAAGGTTAAGACCATTACAATTCCAGCTAAGAAGTTGCAGAGACATTGTGTTGCTATGTGCCTAGACGAGAGGTTTTTTTAAGGGCAGGAAGTAAAGAACTGCCAGGCATTAGAAACCAAAGGAAGATGATTATCTGGTTAACTGTTCATTGTTTAATATGCTGTTATTTCACTGCTCAGCCTAACATGCACATAAAGGTAAAGGTAAAGGTACCCCTGCCCGTACGGGCCAGTCTTGACAGACTCTGGGGTTGTGCGCCCATCTCACTCAAGAGGCCGGGGGCCAGCGCTGTCCGGAGACACTTCCGGGTCACGTGGCCAGCGTGACAAAGCTGCATCTGGCGAGCCAGCGCAGCACACGGAAACGCCGTTTACCTTCCCGCTAGTAAGCGGTCCCTATCTACTTGCACCCGGGGGTGCTTTCGAACTGCTAGGTTGGCAGGCGCTGGGACCGAGCAACGGGAGCGCACCCCACTGCGGGGATTCGAACCGCCGACCTGATGATCGGCAAGCCCTAGGCACTGAGGCTTTTACCCACAGCGCCACCCGCATCCCTCAACATGCACATAATAAGCTGCAAAATGGGAGTGGCATTGTTGATGTTGTTGATGTTGTTGTTTTTTAGCCAGGATACCTTTGTTCAGCCCTAATTTCTGCTTGCTTGGTTCTGGCTGCGTTTACTAAACCGTATTCATATAGCCTCCACTCCCTGAAGCTGTGTGTTCCCCATTTCTTGAGTGTGTGCACATACACCAATATATACATACCCTCTCCTATTTAACAGGAAGAGGAAATTATGTTAGGAAAAGGTTTAAAGCTGCTGCTTTCTTTTTTTAAGAAAGCCCTGAAGTGCTAATTCTCTCCAAATGCAATTTTGCTCCAAAATGAAACCACCACTCTGTTTTTCATACTTTGACCACAGGGTTCTGTTTAGTAATTGATACTGAGAAAGACAGATGCTACAGAGGTGGTTTGTTTTTCTATTTTGCCTTGGCGACTGGTTAAATATCAATGCTACTTATTTTAGCTAAAGCCTTCCTAACATCTTCGATTAAGAACATTGAATATACCTAGTAAGCAAACAGGTAGTGCCTTGGCCAATTCCGAAATGCCTTCGCCTTTCCTTAGGTCAGTATTTACCTCATGGATGGGAACCTTTAGCCCGCCAGATGTTTCTGGACCGCAGCTGCCTTTATCCCTGAGCACCCATTGTAGCTGATGCGAGTCAGGGTGCTTCAAACAGTCTCTCTTTTTGAGAGAGATTCAGTCACGTCCCAGGCTGTGGAATTAGCTGGTTTGGAGCTCTTGCAAAAAACAAAAAACAACAACCCATTTTCCTAAAAGCCCAGACTTCCCAATAAGGGGTGTGATTAGTGCGGTAGGAGAGCTGGGGGCGGGGAATGGAAATCACATCTGGCAACCAATGCACCGCTTTGATTTCAGATAGTACATGGGTAAAGGTAAAGGGCCCCCTGACCATAAGTCCAGTCAGCGAACGACTCTGGGGTTGCGGCGCTCATCTCGCTTTATTGGCCGAGGGAGCGGCGTACAGCTTCTGGGTCATGTGGCCAGCATGACTAAGCTGCTCCTGGTGAACCAGAGCAGAGCACGGAAACACCGTTTACCTTCCCGCCAGAGTGGTACCTATTTATCTACTTGCACTTTGACATGCTTTCGAACTGCTAGGTTGGCAGGAGCAGGGACCAAGCAACAGGAGCTCACCCTGTCGCGGGGATTCAAACCGCCGACCTTCTGATCGGCAAGCCCAAGAGGCTTAGTGGTTTAGACCACAGTGCCACCCGCATCCTTAGCACATGGGTAGACGAGTCTAAAAAGCCTGGGACACAAATTTTATGACCCTCTAGCGGCTATGGTGGCTCAGAATCACAGAATTGATGATCCTCAGGGTCCCTTCCTACCCCCTGCAATGCAGGAATATGCAGCTGCCCCATATGGGGATCAAACCTGCAACCTTTGTGTTATACATTATCAGTTCCCTCATCCCAATTTTAGCGTCTGTCTGCCTCCCCACCCACCCCCTCTATTTCATTACACCCTTGGTAAGAGAGTGAGAACTGCAAAAAACGGCAGGAATTGTGTTTCATCGTCGGATGCCCTCTTCTTCCATTAGACTTCATTTCCCTTTTTGCTAAGTGAAACTTGCAGAGCTGTGCAATTTTTCCCTTCGTCTCCGTAAATAATCTTCTTCCCCCTACTGTTTTAGCAATCAGTTATTTCGTGCAAGCGTGCGCACGGAACACTCCTTTTTGCCTACAGATCGCGATGTGCGAAACACTCTTTCACATGAAGATGGCCCAGCTCAACGGCACTGAGGAGTTTTTGCTAATGCTAATTTGCGTGAAGACCAATTCAGGTCAAGTTTGCCAATTTCCTAGCAACGACACTTGCCGTTTTACTGACCGGGATCAAGGCATCGTTGACTTCAAGGGCTGATTTGCAGCCCGTTTGAAGGGTCCAATTTGCCTCTCGTCGCCAGATCTGCTAAATAAATAATGGTGGACAGGACATATCTCTCTATATATATTTACTGCCTCTTCTTTTTTCTTAACAGCAATGGTACAGTAACTCTATGAAAATCATATGCGTGTGGCTGGCCGATAGATTAGAACTGCAGCTTCATATCTATCAGCTGAAGACTCTCATCAAGATAGTGAAGGTAAATATATTAGAATTTGATTGCACCGCAGCATTGAAAAGAAAAGCAAACAAATGAATTCTTCTGGCTTTTTTTTAAAAAAAAGCAGTTTTATTGGTTTTTAAATAATCATTGAATACTTACCTAGCAGTACATCCAAATGTTTGCCTCTAGACATAAACTGACACATTCAAACATATTAATGTAACCCCTCCACTGAGAATATTGAGTAATTGATATAAGGAGGTCTTGATTTTGGTCATTAACATAGTTAAAGAATGGGGTCCAGATTCTTGGAACAAGTCTCTCTTCGTTATGCCTTTAATTGCCCTCTTGTGTCTGGTGAGATGCTCAGACATTGCTGTATCTCAGATATTGTGCATCATATGCATCAATATAACAATTTCCCCAAAGCTTTGAAGCACTTCAGTTCATTCGTAAGTTCAATTGCTGTAAGGTGGATATTCCACTTTAAAAAATGGGAGGGCAGCCCAATGAGTTCACGGCTGAGATGAGATTACATCACTTGTTCCAAACCTGTTACCCTTCAGCTGTTTTGAGGCTAGAGCTCCCATCAGCTAGCTTGGCTGGCGCTGATGGGAGTTCTAGTCCAAGACAGCTAGAGATTGGGAACGTTGCATTAGTTCTTATGGTCTTGGTCTCAGTGATTCATGAGCCGCACCGAACCGGCTACAGCACTTGCTTGAAAGGGCTGAAGCAAAGCAATGCACTAGTACCCATCTTATTTGCAGTGAAAAGGTGCCTTTTAGAATTATCTGGGACTGGCAGAAAGAATAATTTGTTTAGTAGCTGAATCTGTGCTTCGCAATGGAAGTCACTCCAGCAAATCTAGAGTGGTGTATATAAGCCAAATTGTACAAGCAGCTAGCGTCTAATAAACATGTCCCCGGAGGCCAAAGCACTGCAGAACAGAAACCCAAAAGGCCACTTAATGAGTGATTGGTGAGGTGATTTAGTGGTCTGAAGGCCTATCTGAATCTGTTCAGCTACTTATCAGGTGCAAAAAATGGAAGGCTGCACAAATGGAGATTGACTGATGGGAACATTTCCCCTGCCAGCAAATTGGATCCTACAGCTCCCAAGGTGATTTCAGGGGCCAAGCACCACCACTGAGTGGAATTTGTGTGAGTGCATACACGTAGCAAAGGGAGTTAAACTGCATTTGCAGCTCCTACAGTTATTTTTATAACTCTTTTTTATTATTATTAATATGGATCACTAGTTTTGCATGAGTAAAAAAAATTCTACAGAAGCAGTTTAAAAGAGATGAATTGATCAAGCCTTCGGCATGATCAACTGAAGAGTTTGCACATCGAACTGAAGTCTTATTTTCCAGTTCAGCAGCACTAGTGTTTCTGGCATTCCTGCCACAGGCAGGGCCACGATTCGGCACACTTGCTCAGTTGTTAGCACAGGCTCTCAATCTGGAGCCATATTTTGGTATTCAGATGGTTGTTTAATGCAGTTGATCATGAAAAATATAGTCCTGGGTTCAGAATAATCAGCTAGTCATGCATCTAAAGGACATGTAAACCATCCAAGATGTGTTTCACTTTGGAAATGTAAAGCAATAATAAGTACGATCTTGTTTTTAAGCGCCTGTTTTAACATTCTTGTGATTTAAGGTGAACAGAGCACGGTCTTTTTGTATTCAGGGTAGTTCTCTCCCAACTCCACAGATCAAAACAAAAAGAGCCTTTAGAGCAGTCCTGATTCCCAGTGGCTGTCAGCCCAACACCTTTGTAAGCCTGTATGTTTTGCTGCATGTGACAATGAAACGCAGCATACATTGCAGCATTCAGGATGAATCAGCCGATGTCTTTCATTAGTCCAGATTCTGCTGGTGGAACCATTGCTCGGGCAACTGTGCTGTACCTGAGCTATACTGTTACGGCAGAGTCATGTATTAAATTAAATATTTGCACTTACTCAAGGCAAGCGATTCCCAGAGCTGCTGCTCTTCCTGATAACCTCCAGGAGAAAGCATCCCCAAGCCACACAGGCTATTGGAGAGTTGCTCATTAAGTTTAAGAGCCAGCTCATTCAAGGCACAGCAATTACTTGATGAGAGTTTGATACGTTTCTTTGGAAAGCATGTGAAAGAATGCTACCTTTTTTTCTTTCTTTTTTTTTGAAAGAGTGCTGTTTTCTTCCCTGTTTCTGTGTAACACACACACACACACACTATGAAAGGTACCAGAAAAGAACTCTGTTGGGAGATGTTACACTGAGAACTACTTTCAGGCTTTTTAGCACCATAAACAAAACATTTAAATAGCCCTCCCTTGCCCACAGCAATACACTCTGGGGCTTGGGGATCCTGTTCTCGTGTGTTGTGTTGAAGGAGGAAGCATAGCTTAGGGTTAAGAGCGTGAGATTTCCATCCAGAACATTCCAGCTCCAATCCTTGACATCTCTAATTTGGGACTACAGTTCCCATCATTCCTGGTTACCGGTTCTCTTAGCTAGGGACGGTGGGAGCTGTAGTCCAAAAACAGCTGGAGACCCAAGTTTGGGAAACACTGAGTTAAAGGATCTCAAATACAGGGCTGGCACAGACATCATCCCAAGCACCAGAGGAGCTGTTGCCCTCCAGATGTTCTGGACTACAGCTCCCAGAAAAAATCATGCTGCCTGGCAGAGAGGCTGATGGGAGTTGTAGTCTAGAATATCTGGAGGACACCAGTTCAGTGAACGCTGTTCTGAAGATGCCATGGTAGACTGTTGTGATCAAAACAGTCCAATGGTCTGCTTTTTACCTACCATTCCCTTTTTTCCAATTGATTGTTTTTGATTTTCCAAATTGTTGTGGATTTGTTAAAACACTGAGCAAATTTAATACTTTTTCAACAACAGAAAGACTTCCCACCCCCCCTTCTTAGATGTGTCCATAATTAACCCTTATTGCTGCTTATATTTCATAGTTCTAATTCACATTCCATTTTTTCCTTTTATCCATCAGCATTAGTTAACATTTCCAATATTGTTGAGTGAGGATTACGCATCCATTTAGCAAACCACGTTAATTTGCCAATTCTATTCCACACACCTTTCCCCAACCCTTTATCGCGGTCAGGCCTTCATTCTGTCTGCCCCCTTCGATGAGACTGACATTTTTAGGGAGCTACAAAAGGGAAGAACTGACCCTTTGCTGAAAATATTCTCTTGTTGCTACAGAAGACCTATCGAGACTTCAGGCTGCAGGGCGTGCTGGAAGGAACCCTGAATAGCAAAACATACGACACCGTCCACAGCCGCCTGACAGTAGAGGAAGCCACGGTCTCTGTGTCTGATGGGAGCGGACTTCAAGGCATCACAATGAAGGACAGCGACGAAGAAGACGGCTGACCACCTGCTTCCCCTCATGAGTGTTTGTTCCGTAACTTGTCCTCACACTTCGCGTTTATGGTTTTGCCTTAATGCCCCGATGCTATGGTGTAAAATTCATCCCACTTGTGAGGGAGGAAAGGTGGGCTGGAAAGGGGGAGGTATTGGGGGCAGGGGTGTTTAATGCCGAGGACATTTTGAAGACAATGGCCAGGGTGGGGTGGGGGTTGCATATTTTTTCTATGTAGCTTTGCTTTGCACTTTTGAGAATGCCAGCATGGAGTGTGGGCTCCATCCCTTTCTGTTTGTCGCGTTGCCGTTTCTCTTCCTGTAACCGGACGGGAGAGCAGACCTTGTACATTGCGCAATACTACAGGCAGTCATCACTGGAAACTGTTCAGAGCAGGCATTTCATTTGCAACAATTGCAGCCCGAAAATGTATTTCCCATGGTTTGTCGCTGTTGTGTTTTGTTTCTGTTGTCGGTCTCTTGCTTTTTCTTCATTCTTAGGAGACATGCATTTAAAAGAAAAACTTGGTCCCTCATCCTTTGATTGTGCTTTGTATAAAAGGCAAGAGGATCTCCAAGGACTGCCAGGGGGAAAACACACACACACACACACACCACTGCAAGTGTTGCATCTTCTCTCTTGCAAATTTAAAAACTTTCTCATCTCGTTGATTGTCCAGAAACTTGCCTTCGGTATTTCTATGTCTCTGTGAAAATTTGCAGGCAATAAGAACCCCCCTATTCCCTCCTGTCATGACCACTTCTGTATCTAGCCCACGTTTGTACAAAGTTCCAAAATTAAAATATGTTTGCAATATTTGAAATCCTTCGACCTCCAGCGTGTGATTTGTTTTGCTGGCAGGAGAGGGCAGTTACAAAAATAAAGTGCAATTGTTTCCTGGAGCCCTGCAACATTTGATAAAGTGTTTTTATATGAAGAATTACCTGAGTGGTCTAGCCTATAGTTTTTTCATTTAAGAAATTACTTGCATCTCTATATTCTCCGGTGATGTCTTTTCAAAAAGGCATTCTGCTTTTGTATACCTTCCCATAAAATGCATACATCTCTGCCTATTGATAACGGCTTGAATGGTTCCAAAGTAATCTGGAAGAGCACTGAGCGAAGAAGTTGGGGGCGGGCGTTACTTATGTTCCTAGTGACCTTAAATGCCTGGCCTTAATTTAGCAGTGAAGTGCTTTACTTCAATGAATTCCTTAAACAATTCAGAATCACTGTGGCTTACGCGACGGTTCTTTGCAAAGACAGGTCGCGCAACTTTGCGGCTGCTCTGTGAGCACAAAGGCTTGAAGGATTGAAAAGTAGTGAGTTCCAGAGAGGAGCTCATTGTTTTGTTTCGTTTTGAAGCGCTCATGTAAACTGCGCTGAACAAGGGCAAACAAGTTACACTTCAGCAGAGCTTGGCTCCTCCTCGAAGTGGCAATTACTCCTCGTTCTCCAAGAACTCTCGAGAACTTGAAATAGAGCTATTTAGTGGGAGAAAGGGCAAATAAAATATTCTGTGCTCTTGCACTGTCCTCACAAACAGGATGGCAAGGACAATATGTCTGGGCTCTAGCATTCTCTTTGGTCTCCCTTCAGGAAATAACCTTCCCAAATGATACCAAGAGATGCCAAAGATTTTTGGGATAGAGCGAGTGATGATCATTATTCCTTCCCACAATGTTTGGGGGCTCAACACAGAAATCTCAATCAAAAAGCAACGGGAGTATGACATAGGTAACCAAATACACCCCATCCAATGGACTAAACTGTGGTCTAAACCTTCCTTCAAATCCATCTCAGACAACAGAAAGGAACACACCTTGAAACTTACCTATAGATGGTACCTAACACCATGGAAGTTGGAGCTGATACACCCAGGAACCTCACCAAAATGCTGGAGAAGTTGCAGCTCTGCAGGTACATACCCCCACATGTGGTAGGACTGCTCCAGAATCCAACCCTTCTGGACATCAGACCTACAAGAAATATGTAAAATAACAAAACAGGTATTAGAAGCCTCTCCAGAACTACCAGATCTACAATTATACTTTGAGGCATTGGGTTTGTGCTGGATTACTGAAGAACAAGCAGGTGACTGGGAGCGGCTGCCGAGACCACATAACACCAGTCTTGAAAGACCTACATTAGCTCCAAGTACGTTTTTGAGCACAATTCAAAGTGTTGGTGCTGACCTTTAAAGCCCTAAAGGGCCTTGGTCCAGTATATCTGAAGGAGCGTCTCCACCCCCATCGTTCTACTCGGACACTGAGGTCCAGCGCCGAGGGCCTTCTGGCGGTTCCCTCACTGCGAGAAGCCAAGTTACAGGGAACCAGGCATAGGGCCTTCTCGGTAGTGGCGCCCTCCCTGTGGAACGCCCTCCCACCAGATGTCAAAGAGAACAACTACTACCAGACTTTTAGAAGACATCTGAAGGCAGCCCTGTTTAGGGAAGCTTTTGATGTTTGATGTATTACAGTATTTTAATATATTTTTTTTGGAAGCTGCCCAGAGTGGCTGGGGAAGGTCAGCCAGATGGGCGGGGTATAAATAATAATTATTATTATTATTATTATTATTATTATTATTATTACTGCTAGATCTGGAAGGGCATGATGGTAAATATGGATGACATGCGTGTATGTGGTATGGCAGAGCCAAAATTTACAAGAGCTTCTCCAACCATGTGATCAGAAAGAACTTGATTAGAGTCCGGGGGAAACACAAAAACTTACCAGAAAGAAAGACACCACTGTAGTTATACCCGACAGGAGCAATAACTTGGAAAAAGATTAATATGGAGAACCAATGGGGTACTCACTGCAGCCAACTGAAGTCAACCAACTATGCCTTGGGTCCCCCAACCTCTCTCACCACCAAGAAAAGCTAATAAATGAATAGAAAGAGAATGTGATGCCGGCACAAAAACCTTGCACGTAACACCATGTAAAAAAATGAAAGTTTATGTCAGGGATGAGCCAGTGGTTTCAAGTTCCCCAGAGGGAGGGGGAAACCTGGGAGTGGAAGAAGAGGGCGAGGTGCCGGACTGGGAGGGAGATAATGAGGAGAGAGCTGTAGGAGGAAGCAGAGGAAGAGGCAGGAAGGGCTAGAGAGCCAGGAAGTTCACAGGAGCAGCAAGCTCAAGCTCAGAATCTTTTGACAGCTCTCTTGAGACATGGGAGAAGAGGAGGGTGTAAGGCATGGGTTGCTGGAGGGGCAACTGCAGGCCTCAGCAGAGATCTGAACTGAGTGACTCTGGTGGATGATAAGATGTGTTAATGACCCGTTGTAAATACTGTAAATAAAGACTATTTTAAAAGTCATGGTGATTGTTGTGAAGAGAGGACACCCTCAGCCCTGACATTTTACCACCCCTCTCTTCTCCCCCCAACCTTATACCAACTACAACATTAACGTCTCACACCGGATATAGTTGATCTGTAGAAAAGACATTATGATCTGAAAACAGATGTACTTTTGTAACCCAAGAAAATCTTGTAATAAAAGCAATTTTAAAAGAAGGAGAAACAAAAAACTTTTTAATAATAATAATAATAATAATTTATACCCCGCCCATCTGGCTGAGTTTCCCCAGCCACGCTGGGTGGCTCCCAATCAAGTGTTAAAAACAATACAGCATTAAATATTAAAAACTTCCCTGAACAGGGCTGCCTTCAGATGTCTTTTGAAGATAGGATAGCTGCTTATTTCCTTCACATCTGAAGGGAGGGTGTTCCACAGGGTGGGCGCCACTACCAAGAAGGCCCTCTGTCTGGTTCCCTGTAACCTCACTTCTCGCAATGAGGGAACCGCCAGAAGGCCCTCGGTGCTGGATCTCACTGTCCGGGCTGAACAATGGGGGTGGAGACGCTCCTTCAGGTATACAGGACTGAGTCCGTTTAGGGCTTTAAAGGTCAGCACCAACACTTTGTATTGTGCTCAGAAACGTACTGGGAGCCAATGCAGATCTCTCAGGACTGGTGTTATGTGGTCCCGGCGGCCACTCCCAGTCACCAGTCTAGCTGCCGCATTCTGGATTAATTGCAGTTTCCAGGTCACCTTCAAAGGTAGCCCCACGTAGAGAGCATTGCAGTAGTCCAAGTGAGAGATAACTAGAGCATGCACCACTCTGGCAAGACAGTCCGTGGGCAGGTAGGGTCTTAGCCTGTGTACCAGGTGGAGCTGGTAGACAGCTGCCCTAGACACAGAAATACGGTAACCTGCGCCTCCATGGACAGCTGTGAGTCCAAAATGACTCCCAGGCTGCGCACCTGGTCCTTCAGGGGCACAGTTTCCCCATTCAGGACCAGGGAATCCCTCACACCCGCCCACCCCCTGTCCCCCCAAAACAGTACTTCTGTTTTGTCAGGATTCAACCTCAATCTGTTAGCCGCCATCCATCCTCCAACTGCCTCCAGGCACTAACATGTTTTTAAAAAACATACACAAAGGAAGCTGCAGAGTCAGATAATTTGGCCTGTCTAGCTCAGTACAGTCTTACATTGAAAGGCAGTGCCTCTTTTGGACTTCAGACTGGGTTTTCTTCCAGTCTTACCCAGAGATGCTGGGGATTGACCTTATGCATATGAAGTTTTACCACTAGACTATGCGCCATCCCAATACCAGTCTGTGGGTATTCACTGGTGATGGGACAAAGCTGCAGGTTAAAGATACACCTTCCCCAAAGCTTTGCTGGGAGTTTAGCTGTTGCCTGCAGGTACTGTATGTGGTGGGGGTGGTTTTTACCTTTGGTACATAAAAAGCGAAACCTCCAGGAGGAAGCTGCTTCCCATTCCTACAATTCAGCCACTTTTAAAGCTACAAAAGTGCAAGCTGCTTAAACCGGTCCTTAAATTAGTTCGGTCCCGGTGCAAGGTGTGTGCCGCCCATGGCCATTAAAGCACATTAGCATTTCCTGCATTTGTGACCTTCAAATTCTCCAGAACCCTTCCTTGTGTAAGTGTTACGCAAAAGGCAGCACCTATAAGAGCACAAATGGTTCCGGCTCTCTCCACAGAAACCCAACAGAATCCCAGATCCTTTTAATTTAATTGAACATTGCTCATCTGTGTGTATTCCCAGGGCGCTCACCAGGTATTAGCATTATTGGCCAACTATCAAGGATCAGAGCGGGAAGGTAAACGGTGTTCCGTGTGCTGCCCTGGCTTGCCAGAGCAGCGATGTCACGCTGGCCACGTGACCCGGAAGTGTCTTCGGACAGCGCTGGCTCCCGGCCTATAGAGTGAGATGAGCGCACAACCCTAGAGTCTGGCAAGACTGGCCCGTATGGGCAGGGGTACCTTTACCTTATCAAGGATCAGACTCAAGTCAAGGGCCCATCAATACCTGGGTTCCCCACTCCCAGCCTTACTGCTGCTGCTCCTTGTTATCATTGCCTGTACACAGTCCTCTTTAAGTGAGTAAGCATCACAGGAGAAAGGAGGAGCACCAACCCAGCCTCAAGCTTCTCTTCCCTTCTCGATGGCTGTAGCCAAAAACACAAGATGGTACATCTTGCCCAATGCCCCCCTCCCAGAACTTACACCATACACTGTATCCCTGTTCTGAATTCTTTGTTGTTGTTGTTTAGTCGTTTAGTCGTGTCCGACTCTTCGTGACCCCATGGACCAGAGCACGCCAGGCACCTCTGTCCTCCACTACTTCCCGCAGTTTGGTCAAACTCATGCTGGTAACCTCGAAAACACTGTCCAACCATCTCGTCCTCTGTCGCCCCCTTCTCCTTGTGCCCTCCATCTTTCCCAGCATCAGTGTCTACTCCTAGGAGTCTTCTCTTCTCATGAGGTGGCCAAAGTACTGGAGCCT